TCTTGCTCCTCCATCCCTTCTTGCTTCCAGCCTGGGCTGCATCCTCCTCCTCTCCCTGCTGCTGCTGCTGCTGCTGCTGCTGCTGCTGCTGCTGCTGCTGCTGCTGCTGCTACTACTCCCCCCTCCTCCTGCTCCGTCCTTCTGCTGCTGCTTCTCCTCTTCCCCCTCCTCCCACCTCCACTTCCTGCTGCTCCTGCTCCTGCTCTGCCTTCTCTCCCACCTCCTGTGCCCCCCACCTCCTCCCGCAGATGCCGCTTCACCTCCAGCCTGTACTCCCCCTTCTCCTCCCCCTTCTCCTTTTCTCCTCCTCCTCTTCCTCCTTCTCGTCCTCCCCCCCGTCGTCGTCCTTCCCCCTAGTCGTCCTCGTCGTCGTCGTCGTCGCCGCCGCCGCCGCCGTCGTCGTCGTCGTCGTCGTAGTAGTCGTCGTCGTCGTCGTCGTCGTCGTCGCCGTCGGCGTCGGCGTCGGCGTCGGCGTCGGCGTCGGCGTCGGCGTCGGCGTCGGCGTCGGCGTCGGCGTCGGCGTCGGCGTCGGCGTCGGCGTCGGCGCCGGCGTCGGCGTCGGCGTCGGCGTCGGCGTCGGCGCCGGCGTCCCCGCCGTATTCGTCGTTCGCCTGCCCGCCCGCCCAACGAGGTGGCCTCGGACCACTGGGGCAGCCCCACCTGTGGCAGGTTCGAGGCCTGAGCCTCCGCGCGACCGCGAATCGGTTCGAGGGCTCCAGGCCGACGATCGAGGCTCTGGCGCGTCGCGCTGCTCCTTGGCCTCCCCGGGGGTGCTCCCGTCGCCGCGGCCGCAGCCGCCCCGAGATTCTGGCCAGAGCGCTCCGCTGCAAGGGCCTTGATGCTGGACCCCCGCGGCCAGACCTCCGAGAGGGGCCTTTCGGGCAGAGCCACGCGAGGGGCTGGGGAGGCCTCTGGGACAGGAGTCCGGCGCCGCTCGGCGGCGGCGCTGGCGGCGCTGGGAGGGGGGGGCCCTCGCACGCGGAGGGTGAGGGGAGAGATGGGAGGGCAAGATCGGGCGTTGCTGGGAGTGCGTCTGGCCCAAGGTGCCCCCCCCAGGATTCTCGGGGTGGCCCAGACGGTCCGGAGCACCGCTCACGGGGCCCAGAGGGTCCCACGGGGCTCCCAAAGTGGAGCGAAACGCTGGGGGAGAAGCAGAGAGGAGAACCCAGACCCTCGCGCCCCGAACACACAGCGCTGGAGCTCTCTCGCAGTTTCCGGTGCCCGGGAGCCGTCGAAGGGTGCCTCGAGAGGAGAGGCCGGCTCCTCTGCCGGTAGGTGCCCGATAGCCCGCCCATCCCGCCCAGGACCGTGTGGTTCCGCCATTGGGGTCCCATCGCCGATCTACTGGCGAGGTATCACCGATTCCAGATCGATGTTTCCCCCCCGTAAGCCAGTCTCGCATCGACGTGCCCCCTCAGCCCCAGGGAGGAAGTCCAGAGCTCCACGGGCCCGCGCTGCGACAAGGGCGGATCGTCAGAGGCCCTGGGCGAGAGGAGCTGGGCCCTTCTGAGAGGTGCCTCCTGCCCTCTCAGGGCCCCCCCCCCTCTCGCCGTGCCCCGGGGGTAGGAAGCGCACCACCGCCACCCCAGCCCAGGGGGATGTGCGGGGTGAGCTGATCTGCAGGCCTGCAGTTGTGCAGCATGCCCGACCACGGGATGTGCTGCATGCTGCATCACCCTCCCCGTGGCCCGCGCTGCCTCCACACCCGTCCAGGTGGTGGTGGTGGTGGTGGTGGTGCGCTTCCTCCCCCGAGGCTGGCGCATCGGGCGCGCCGCCGAGGGCACTGCTAGCTGGGCTGGCCGCCAGCCGTTCTGCCCGTTGCTGCCCCCACGGGGGCGCTTTTTTTACTCACGCTCCCCACGCGAGGTCCCACGGATGCGTCTGCCCACTCGCTTAAATGCGCATTGGCGCTCCATCCTGGAGGCGCTGCTCTGCTGTTTGCCCAGTGGAACAACCAAACTGCAGGAGCATACTCCAGATTTCGTAATAAAAGGGAGGGGGTCTGGACCCTCCAAGACGAGCCATTTCAGACCCCCACCCCGTGGGAGAACCCTCCAAGACGTCGTCCCCAGACCCCCAGGCCCTCCAAGATAGCCTGGAAGAGACCCCCCCCGAAATGAGACCCCCCTCCCTTTATTACGAAATCTGGAGCACACATTCGGAGCTCCGTGCGGACCTCCTTGAGCGGTCAGCCGTCGATCCAAGAAACAGAAACTCCGCGCGGAGCTCCGACAGCTTATGCTTGTGCAGTTTGCTGTTCCTCGATGGCCCTGCCCGGGAGTCCCGGCGCGCCGCGGGCGGCCCGGCCGGTGGGAGGGGAGGCAGAGGGAGGTGGTACGGGGGGCGGAGGGCGGAAGCGGGCGTGGTGGTCGCGGCGGGTGTCGTGGAGGTTGGCGGTTGGCAGTCGCGTGGGAGGCGGTCGTGCGGGTTGTGGTCGTGGGGGCGGTCGTTGTGGGCGCAGCTGTGGCCGACGGTAGCTGGTGGTGGTAGTATTGTGGTGTTGAGTCAGGCCTCTCCCTCTACAGGAGGAATCTTCAGAAATGGTAAGAAAACAAAATATCCGGGGACGATGTTTTGAGTATTTCTTGGCTATTTTTTTGGTATGTCTCGAGTCTTTTTTCAATTTTCGCCCAACATCCGCCTGTAGGAGGACACGCCCGACCTAATTGTAGCGGGTGTCGTGGTGGTGGTGGCCCCGGCCGCTGGCGCGCCGGCGGCGCCAGCTGGCAGCGGCAGCCGTCGCGGCAGACCACTGCCTGAGGGCGTTCAGGATCACCTCGGCGTTGCCTTAGGTCGGGCATGTCCTCCCACAGGCAGATTTTGGAAGAAAGAGAAAAATAAATACGAATTATCCCAGTGCGACCCTACCTAGGAGTTGGAGCCCCGAGGAGAGCATATGCAATGCTGCGCTATGCTATGCAATGCAATGCTATGCTATGCTGCGCTATGCTGCTCTATGCTGCGTTATGCTGCGCTATGCTATGCTATATTATGCTAGGGTATGCTAGGCTGCGCTATGTTATGCTAGGCTATGCTATGCGATGCTATGCTGCGCTATGCTATCCTATGCTATACAATGCTATGTTATGCTGCGCTATGCGATGCTATGCTATGCAGTGCTATGCTGCGCTATGCTGCGCTATGCTGCGCTAGGCTATGCTATGCTATGCTAGGGTATGCTAGATTGCGCTATGTTATGCTATGCTATGCTATGCTATGCTATGCTGCGCTATGCTATGCTGTGCTGTGCTATGCTGCGCTGTGCTATGCTATGCTATGCTATGCTGCGATATGCTATGCTATGCTAGGCTATGCTGCGCTACGCTATGCTATGCTAGGCTAGGCTATGCTATGCTATGCTGCGCTATGCTATGCTATGCTATGCTATGCTATGCTGCGCCATGCTATGCTATGCTATGCTATGCTATGCTATGCTATGCTGCGCTATGCTATGCTGCGCTATGCTATGCTATGCTATGCTGCGCTATGCTATGCTGTGCTGTGCTGTGCTGCGCTATGCTATGCTATGCTATGCTATGCTGCGCTGTGCTATGCTATGCTGGGCTATGCTATTATATGCTGTGCTGCGCTATGCTGTGCTACGCTATGCTATGCTATGGTGTGCTCTGCTATGCTAAAGCTCAGCGAAACTAAGATGAAGGTCAGCTAAGCTAAGATAAACCTGAGCTGAGATGAAGCTAAGCTAAGCTAAGATGAAATAAGCTAAGATCAGATGATATGGTATGATATGAGCAACGCTAACCTAAGGGAATGTCACTGGGGGAACCGCGGGGCGGATCCTGGGGGAACCGCCTGGGGCGTTTTCCACTGCCCGGCCCTTTAAGCCAACACGGTAAGAACCCTTCTAGGCAGAGCCTAGGTAGGGAAAAAGACATTCTGGAATATTCAAAATAATCCCCCCCAGAGTATTTCTTACTTTTTTTTGAAGATTCCTCCTGTAGAGGGACATGCCTGACTTAAGCGTTGACCGTCTGCAGAGTCACCCAGATTTCCCGCCAGAGGCGACCCAAGAGCTCGCCCCGCTCGTCCTCCTCGAGGTCGGCGCCACAGCTACGCACGAAGGCCGCTGCTTCCTCGGAGGGCCGTCCCCAAGCCTCGTGCCAAAGACCACTGGGGATGAGCTCGAGCCCCTGCTGCGGGGGGTACCTCGTTCTCTTGTCGTCGACCTCCTGGGCTGCCGCCGGGCCCATCCTGTGGGAGCGGGCCCATCATGAGGGAGGAGGAGGAGGAGGAGGAGGAGGAGGAGGAGGAGGAGGAGGAGGAAGAGGAGGAGGAGGAGGAGGAGGAGGAGGGGGAAGCTACTAAAGGAGGAGGAGAAGAGGAGGAGGAGGAGGAGCAGTAAGCATGATAAGAATAATAATAATAATATCAATCATAAGGGTAAATAATAATATTAATAACAAGAATAATAACAACATTATTATTCATAATAATAAGAATACGGATGCTAATACTAAGAAGAATAGTAAGAATAACAATACTACTAATCATACTAGTGATAAGAATAATACTTAAAAACAAAGAAGAAGTGTAATACTACTAATAATAGTATTCATAACAATGATAATGATCATAATAATGATAAGCAGAAGAAAAGGAGGAGGAGGAGGAGGAGGAGGAGGAGGAGGAGGAGGAGGAGGAGGAGGAGGGGGAAACTACAATCGGCCACGATGGTGAAGGATGACCTGGGACGGACGTGGTCGATGCTGCGTATTCATCCCTGTTTGCTACAGGACATCGTGCGGGCAGGCATACAGCTATGGCAGATGCGACGGATACAGGAGCACCACGCCGACCAACCAGGAGTGGACCTATGGGCACGCGGACTCAGGGCGTGCATCGGATCAAAAACAGCGGCATTGCAAAATCCTAAGATGGCAGGCGCATTGCGAGCACTTTGGTCAGGGTCATTGTGGACTAAAGTTAAGATGTACGAAGTTGGCAAAGTGGAAAATGATATGTGTCGCGGATGTGGGGAGGTACCAGAGTACATAGGGCATGTTTGTTATAAGTGCCCTGCAACCAATCAGTTGTTGTGCGAGAGCGAGGAGGAGCATCCGATGCCCGATGAGCTGTTCAACTATAGGGATGCGATGCTGCATTCAGGTACCATACGGACACCGATGGTGACGGACGACTGCTACGACCTCAGCGTGGGCATGCCATTGCTCCCGGGGCAGTATGAGACGCACGTCAAGGAACCCAAGGCGTTCTTCTGGGGCGACTGGGACAGCGACCCCACAACATGGCCGACATGGGTCTTCACGGACGGCTCGGCGATACCGTCAAGCATACCTGAGTTGCGCAGATGTGGTTGGGTTGTGATACAGATGACACCGTATGGATATCCAGCGAGAGCGGTATACGGAGGTCTACCTGGGCCACAGCAGACCATCGGGGCTGCAGGAAGGTATTGCGTGCTCCAGGCGCAGCGAGACTACCCGAAGGCGACGCAGCTGGTCACGGATTTATCAGGACTGGTCGAGGAGGGTACTCGTTGGTCAGAGAGGGGCTCACAGTCACAGGCACGACGCGCGAGCTGGTGGAGGCGCATTCGTGAACACTGGCGCGAGTCAGGCCGTACTCCTGTACGATTCCACTGGTGTCCTTCTCATCAAGATCATTTGAAGGTTGCGTGTGGTCCTGGCTCACAGCTCAAGCTGGACTGGGTGCTGGGCAACGCGTGGGCGGACCACTTTGCGAAGGAAGGCGCACGGTCGGTTGGCTATGCTGAAGGCTATGTGAACATGTTCAAGATGGCCATGGAGCATGCGAAGCTTGGTGCACGGTTTCTCAGCTACACGTTATTTCTGGTGTTACAGCTCAAGATTTGGGGAGACCGCGAAGTCAACGAACCCAAAGTAAGGACGCAGAAGGATGAGGTGCAGGTGCTGGAGCATACCTTTTGGGTTTCAGCAGATGAAGGTGAGTTTCGTTATCGTGCATACGGGGTCCGAGCTAGAACGCAGACTCATTCGGATAATCTTCGATGGGGGTGCGCGGGCTTTGCCAGCCCACGCGGTTGCAGGCAATACAAGCGGAGGTATTCTTCGGCTCCGCACGTGGAGAGGCCTTCGTACCATGGCGCCGGGAGGCGGACACCGACGCGCTGGCGGCTGCCACCACAGTGCTGGGCGACGAAGGTGATCTTACCCACCAACCATGCGATGCCACTGGGGCACCGCTGCTCCAAGCACAGGCCCACTTCACGGCACTGGGGCATGTGCTGCAGTGGAGTGGGCAAGCTACGGTCTGTACGCGGTGCGCACGGGCAGCCAGTGATGTGACGAAGAATGTGCTGAAGCTGCGCGACAAGTGTCCAGGGGCTGCCCAATGCCGCGAGGCAAGGCGCAGCCAGATCAAGCGTATCCTGAGGTTCGCCAAGGGCGTCTCGATGGAGTTCCATGGAAGGCTGCACGAAGTTCTATCGGTTCCGCAGGGAGCTTCGGACGCAGCGTTGGGTCCGTGACTGATCAAATCTTTCATATCAGAAAGGGATCCAACTATTATAAGTTGTGGTGGCCGTGATGCGCGGTCAACCAGACAGGAGGTGCACGGGCGTGTTTGGCCTATTTCGTGTACCTCCTGAGATCTCTCGTGGGCCTGGAGTGCCCAGCAGTTCATGGGGGGCGCCAGGTACGACGTCAACGTGCTCGGGTACTGAGCAGGCCGCGGTGTGCGGCCTTGGAGGAGCGGCGTCCGCCCGTGCAAGCGGGCGGCCGCCCAGTGGCGAACGAGCGAAAGAAATGATGATGATGATGATGATGAGGAGGGGGAGGAAAGAGGGGGAGGATTGGAGGAGGAGGAGGAGGGAGGAGGGGAGGAAGGAGGAGGAGAAGTGGAGGAAGGAGGAAGGAGGAGGAGGGAAGGAGGAGGAAGTGGAGGAGGAGTAATAGGAGGCGGATGCGGAGGCGGAGGCGGGGGCGGCGGCGGCGGCGGCGGCGGAGGCGGAGGCGGAGGCGGAGGCGGAGGAGGAGGAGGAGGAGGAGGAGGAGGAGGGGGATGAGGAGGAGGATGTGGAGGCGGAGGCGGAGGAGGAGGAGGAAGAGGAGGAGGAGGAGGAGGAATAATCATAATAATACTAATAATCGGAACACTAACAATAATCACAATACTAAGGATAAGAATGATATGAAGAGCAATACTACGAATAATCATAATATGATTAATAATGATAATACGAATAATAAGAATACGAATGCTAATAATTAAA